TAATTGCCTACCTCTGCCTGTCTTACTCTGCTGTTACACACAGTGACAAGGACATCAGTAGAAGCATGTATAAAGTACAATATACATTTGAATAGATCGACACTTCTCTTTTCATTCTAAAAATAAAATAGCAAATTAAGGGTTTTGACTGATAATAAAGCTGTGCCAATGTAATCATATTTTGATTAACTGAAGCTGCCAGAAATGTAGTTGAATATTGGAGGTAATCTCCTAGAAGTAAGAAATTAAAAGTTTATACAACCAGAACCACCTTTTGCCAATATACCAAAACACATGAAGCATAAATTTCAATTTCAGGTTACCATAAAAGTGATTCATTAAAAAACAAGATAATATTGTAATAGCACACAAAGATCACATGCTCCAAAATATTTTATGACATTTTTTTCCCTTTACTCAAGGAATATCACATTGGCTGTCTCTCTCTCTCACACACATCCTATATGACATGAAGCATAAGCTGTTAGGCTTGGGCTGAAGATATGTACCTTCAGATATGAAGAAGGTGAGCTTTTAATATGGGGTAGGGGAGAAAAATAAGCCCAAGAGCCTGTACACTTTGACCCCACTGAATTGTTATCACTGGATTGTTAATCGTTCCACTTTAAATATGTTTTTTTATTGGAATTAACATGGGCTCCATTCAGTTTTGAAACTGCTCTGGAATTTGCTTCCAGGAAAGATGGAATGATGCATACATCCCATTTTATCTCTTCTACTAATTATAATTAAAAACTCAAGGCTAAAGTATGTCATTTCAGATTCTATCAGAGCTAGTAGAACTTAAGAAACACCCTGAAAATGAGGTTTCTGATTCCTCTTTGTGAATTTTTGTATTTTGCTTTTTTCAGTTTTTTGTTCATTTATTTGATCATCTATATATTCTGATTGGGGCCTAGAGCAGTCCAAAATGTGAAACTGCCAATAAGTATAGAAATAAAAGCCCCAGTAAAGGCTTGCTGTGTCTAGCCTGAGTCAGAAAGAGGAGCAGGAAAGCTGAGAAACAGATTTTGTTCTCTTTATTCCAGATGAAAGACAACACAGAAACAGTGCCCCTTACTCTCCCTACAGAGCTGTAGCAAACTTGTTGACTCTGCACACCTTATACCAATAAATACCAGCAAAGAAGCTGTGCAGCAGACCCTCTGAGATGACGCTCCGGGAACTCTTCCACCCACAGCAAATGAACGCAGAAAGAGTTAGTGGCATTTGCTCTCCGCACTAGCAGACATGATGTTCCTGACAGTGGTTTTCTGATGACCTACCTTGTCTTTTGCCAGGAAAGTACCAGCAGAGACAGACTCTCTTCCTCTGCCTCTCCCTAGGGATACTGCATTCACTGATACTGCAAGAATGAACTCTGATAACCATAAGAGAAGCTCTGACTTTAGACCCAGAAGACCAATAATGGGGAGTCTTGGGAACCACGGGGTGAAGAGAGGCTTCAGGTTTTAGACCTGCATGTAAGAACTTAGAAACCACCACTCCATCTTAACAACAACTAAAAAGTGGAACAAACTGAAAAACAATTAGCTTCTTAGAGCTGTCACTGTGGTCATAGGCAAACTGAACAGACACACGAATAAAGATAATCACAACTTATTGGGGGAGAATCCCCCTCAGGAACCAGTTTCAGGGTAGGAAAATCTGAACTTTAATTGATGAATACCTGAAGGATAATACAGACAAGTATGAGTCTCAGGGTTAAAAACTTTAGGGAAACCCAGTCACTGGGGGGATGCCACACTTTCATGGTTTACCTCCAGAAGCCCAACTTGTTCTCATAATGGGTATTGTAGAAATATCCCCTTATACTTCAGACATAAGAGAAGAAGAGAAACTATTTTGAAATACTCTACAACATCCTGTTTTTACCAAAACCCACCCTAAGAAACAAACAAACAAACATGAAAAGCACAACTGTTTTATAGCAGAGCCTAACCTCCTGGGGTTTTATCAAAGCTTAACTGACATGAAAAAAGGAAATACTCAATTCCAGCCTCCCACCCCAGCCATCCTATCCCATGTGATGGAAGAAAAAATCTAGAAGTACTGGTGTGGTTCACAGTCTAGGGACAAAGACGCATCCAACATCTGAGACCTAATCAGAGATCTATTGTAATACAACGCTTCCCTCCCACTCGTCACCACCACCTTACCCAAGGCCTACTTACTGCAGTACTTTCTGGCTAGTACGTCATGTCTATATTTCAACAAAATATTACAGAGCATGCTACCAGACAACACACACAATTTGAAGAGACTGAACGAGCATCAGAGCCAGAGTCTGATATGGGAAGAATGTTGAAATTATCAGACAAGGGGACCAGCAGTTAGCGTAATGGCTATGTCGCTGGACTCCCACATAGTCGACAGTGGTTCGAGTCCCGGACCCAGTGGCTTAAACTCACGCCAGGCGCGTGTGCGTGCGTGCCCAAGATCCCGAGAGGAGAATGGAGGAGAAGGGATTGCGGTGTGGCCATCCCCCCGGGGGGTGATTTCTCGCTTTCTATCTCTCTGTCTCTCTCTGTCTGTCTGGCGAGCGCACATGCCCAATAGCAAAAACCTCTTAAAAAAAAAAAAGAAATGATCAGACAAGGAATTTTTAAAAAGAACTATGATTAATTTGCTAAGGGTTCAAATGGGGAAAGGAGGCAACATGCAAGTAATAAAATCTAGACAGAGTGATAGAAATTTTAAGAAAGAATCAAAATGAAATGCAAGACATAAAAACCACTAACAGAAATGAAGACTGCCTTCGATAGGCTCATTAGCAGAATGGATATGGCTGAGGAAAGACTCTTGGAGACTGAGGGTTCCTCAATAGAAACCTCAAAACTGAAAAGCAAAGAGAAGAGAGATACAAACAAAATAAAACAGATAAAAAAAAGACATAATTCAGCATTCATACTTATTTTTTTTTTTAAGCCTTGGGACCAGCAGATGGCATAGTAGTTACATTGCTGGACTCCCATATGTTTGACTGTGGTTCAAGTCCCAGACCTGGTGCCTTGAAACTTACACCATTGTGAATTTGTGCATCATGCCCAAAATCCTGAAAGAAGAATGGAGGAAAAGGGACTGTGGCATGGACATACCTTCTGGGGAGTTATTTCTTGCTTTCTGTCTCTGTCTCTCTGGAGAGTGCATGTGCCCTATAGCAAATATCTCTCTCTCAAAAAAAAAAAAAAAAGTCTCAGCAAATTGGGACCAAAATAAAATTATATCAGTTTGATCAATGGTAATTACAGAAATGCCTATAGTTGATATCATGAGTTGTAAGGTCCTGAATGCTTTTACACCAACACTAACAAGACAGTAACTATTATCCCTATTAATAGACAGCATGGTTGTATACACAGGAAATCTCAAGAAATCTACCTTAAAATATCTTATAATAAATGAGTTTAATAAGATCGTAGATTATACATCAGTATATGAAAGTCAATATTACAGTTATATATTAAATATATCATATATATTATAAAGTCAAGTATTTCAATCCACATAACCCAGCAAACCCATATTCATCCTGGAGAAATGAAAGCAATTTTTACACAAAAACCTGTACTTGACTATATTTAATAGTATTATTTATAATTCCCCCAAACTGAAAATAGCATATGTGTCTCTTAAAGGATGAAGAAATAAACACTGTTAATATATCCCTATAATGGAATATTGTACAGCAATCTAAAATGACATATTATTGCTATATGCAACCTTTTGTGCTGATCTTAAGAATATTTTTCTACATAAAATAACCCAGTCTTAAAAGGTTACAAACTTAATTATTCCATGTATATGAGATTTTAGAAAAGGCAAAAACAAGAACAACAACAAAAAAAATCATGAGTTACCAGGGTCAGAATACAAAGGAAACAGGGGCCAGCAGTTAGCGTAATGGCTATGTTGCTGAACTCCCACGTAGTCGACCGCGGTTCGCATCCCGGACCCGGTGGCTTAAACTCAGGCCGGGCGCATGTGCGTGCATGCCCAAGATCCCGAGAGGAGAATGGAGGAGAAGGGATTGTGGCGTGGCCATCCCCCTTGGGGGGTGATTTCCTGCTGTCTCTCTGTCTCTCTCTGTCTGTCTGGCGAGTGCACATGCCCCATAGCAAAAACCTCTCCAAAAAAAAAAAAGAATACAAAGGAAACAGAATGAGGGAATTCTTTGGCAGTGTTGAAATTGTTCTGCGTCCCTATTTGTGATTATGGTTACAAAAATTTACGTAAGTATAAAAACTCATGATATCTTACGACAATAATTTACATTTTACTCTGTAAATTTTAATAATTTCAAACATTACTAAAACCTCTTTCGGGGACATTGTGTAACTTAAATTGGAAGAAAATTCTTAGAAATTATGAGCTAAAAGCAATGTGTAAATTCTACACCCCTTAAAGACCACATGTATACCTGGTTATTAAGCAGGAGTAAATCAGTGAACTAGAGGCTAGCGAATAGCCAGAAAAATGTAATACACGTAAGTGTTTAAAATTGCTCAATACTGGGTCCAGCAAGTAGCATGGTGAAGGCATTGGATTCCACATGGCTAACTCCACAGTCGAGTTCGGACCTGCTGGCTTGTAAAAACATGCTGGCCTGGGTGAGTGCATGCCCAAAACCCCAAGAGGAGAATGGAGAAGGGACTGTGACATGACCATCCCCCATGGGGAATGATTTCTAATCTTCCTCTGCTTTCTGTCTCTCTCGGATGAGTGACACACCCTATGGCAAAAAATATTTTTAAAATAAACAAAACTTCTCACTACCAGTGGGACAAGAATGAGAGGATGGTGGGAAATATGAAAATCTTCACAAGAGAAGTGAAATGAGAGAGATACAAGAACAACTTAGCCTCTGCTACAAGTACTGTAATTTTCCAGGTGGGATGACTTAATATCTATTGTTTTCAGCTTAGCTCTGTTTATAAACTAAACACTACTTAAATTAGAATACCAACATTCATCAGTACCTCTTCAATGGCACCTGCAGAAATTCTGTGACCTGCAACATTTATCACATCATCAACTCGAGACATTACATACAAGTAGCCTTCTTCATCCATATAACCAGCATCCATTGTGTCATAGTATCCCTGAAAACAAAAAATAACATGTCATTAGCATGTACTATTAAGTAATACAATGATTTTAAAGTTCGGTAAGATGTAAGATGTGATAAGAGTGGATGTACTGCATGCATTTGACTTTTTCAAGTAACTAGAATCTGGAATTAAATTCTTTTTTATTTTGAAAGCTTACTGGAATGTCTTTACTCCTATAATAGTCAAGAATAAGTTAAAAGTGTTCTTATATACATTAAAGTGTTTGAACTTAGAGTTGTAAAGTTTATGAACCCAATTTCTGTTTTTAATGAGAAGTTAGAGCCTGATATTTCTAATATGCTTTGGTATTGTAAAATAATTCTTTGATAGATTTCTTCTTTAATTGTATTAATTTTTAAAACTTTAAAGCTCCCTATGAATAATTATAAAATAGAGCACTAGTTTATTAACATGGATTAGGAATTAGATTCAAGCTTCAGTGAAGTTTAATAGTAAGTATGAAATTTAATTTTTCATCGAACCAAAGTAGCACATCTTTGCTGGTCTAGAAATCACAACAGAATGAAAAATCGAGAAGAATAGTAGAGAGAATGAAATATTATTTTCCCTGATTCTTCTGAGTTATTTTGGTGCCTACGTTCATGAGCTCGGGCTTTAGTACAAATCTTTCCAAGCCACTGTTTGTGTTTCTTAAGCTTTTGGAAAATCCATAAGTTAAATGCTTGACTGTTATGTGGAGTAACAGACTGCTTTGTAGGACTTCAGAAGCATACACAAAATTGTGGAAGTGAGGGAAAGGGAATGATCCTGTCACATCATAAGTCCTCAGTAATTGAGAGCTTGTCCTACAGTTACTACCGTTATGACTGTCACAGATACACCCTAGTGTCATGGGTAAGAGCGTGAACTCTAGAGTCAGACTATTCAGTTCAAATGTCAGTTCCATTGCTTTTAAGCTATGTGGACTCTGGGTAAGTTTCTCAACCTTTCCATGCCATTATTAAAGCCTTCAGACAAACAGTTTGAGGTCAAGCAGTAAGGCATAGTATAGAGTCACTCCATGTAGATTAAGCCAAAACTGAAACTTTGAGGGAGCATTAACAGTTAAAAGCAATCATCTTGAAAGCAGGTACATATAGTCTTTGCCACTGAGAGGTTATAATTAATCATATCAGTACTCTGATGATTTACCTGCACCCCATCAGGTAGATAGATTGGGCTGACAGGAGTCAACTATACTGACAAATCTTCCCTGCCACATTCTATTGGGGACATGCTTAATCTTGGCTATTGAGGTCATTCAACTTGGAGATCTCTTTCTAAAGAAAGCTATTTTGTTTCTTGTCATTTGTCTAGTTGATTAGGTTATCTGTCATTCACTCACAAATAATAAAGATGGAATGCAAAATACTTGGACTTTTTAAAAATGAAATTCTGATAATTTATTCCTTCTAATCTAGTACATAATGAGGATCTAGCCTTACTTT